CCCAAATCTGAGCTGTAAACGAAGCCCCAGCCACGGTCCCCCTCTGGCCCATCACCCGGCCCCGAGACAGCGGGATGTCCCTTGGCAAAGAGAAGGAGGTCTGGGCCGGGTGGGACAGCCACACCCAGCCCCGGGGAGGCGTGGGGTGCCCGGGACAGCCGTGTGCCCTCTCAGCTGATGGAGGGACTCACCTGGTTTAATAAAAGACTCTGTTACACCACAGTCTCCGCCTGGAATTTTCATCCCTTGAGCAGGTGAAGGGGCTCCCAGGGAGGCGGGTGGGAAGGCGGAAGTGGGACTCAGTGTGCAGAGCCCAGTGGGGAGGAGGAGGGCCGGGGGAGGCGTGGAGGGCAGGGGAGGTGGGTCGGGGAACTGCTTCCCGTGGGCCCCTACCCAGCGGCAGGGACAACGCTGGGCTCAGGGAATGGAGGGGGAGCCTCGTCTGGTGGGGAAAGTGGGCCGCTCAGCAGACCTTTGTCACTTGGGCTGCTCGGTGCCAGGAGCAGGGGCACAGAACCAGGGGAGATGGCAGGTCAGAACAACGGAAGCGACAGGCCAAGGACGCTGGCTCGTCAGTGGCAGCGCTGGGCTCAAGTGGTGGCCTGGGAGGCGGGGGGCCTCCAGCAAGGGAGACAGCTCGGCGGCCAGCCCGTGACAAGTGCTGACCTTCTGGCCACAGAGAAAGGACAGACACAGGGGAACAGCTCACACACACGAGCCAAGAGACAAAATCCATATCTACCAAGGCCAAGTGCTCGGGCGGAACCCGTGAGTCTGACTTCAGGGACCCAGAATAAAACACTGGCAGGTGCCCGGGGCAGCCAGGAAGTCGGCTGGAGCGGAGGCCGAGGGCAGGGGCGTGGCCAAGGATCTGGTGGTCTGGGTCCCTCTGGGCGCTTAAGCCTTGAGGGCCTTGAATAGCATCCAAGATTCAAAGCACCAACTCTGGGAGGCCCCATCATTTTCCAGGGGCTCCCGGGAAGCAACCCCGTGGCCCTGCCCTCGAGGTCCTTACCGGGGCTCAGCCCCCTGGAATGAGCCCGACCTCCCTGCCCCCAACCCCAGCCCACACCAAGGTTCATGGCCGCTGAACAGGGCAGAGCTCATCCACCCAATGCAGACCCGTCTCAGGTCCTGGCAGACTCGCTTGCCAGGCCGTGTTGTAGCATCAGATGACAACATTAAAGGGTCCACCTCCTTCTGTCTGCATCTGCATCTGCATCTGCACCTGAGCCCGGCTTGGGACCTGGATGGTCTCGGAGGAGGTGGGAGAGAAGGGGAGGGGAGGGCATGGGAGAGGGTGCTTTCTGACCTTGGAGCCTGGGAAAAATTCCCTGCGTTTATAGTAATTCAATCGAACGCCCAGGCCCTGGGCACTTCTGCTCAGGCTACGTGTGCAGGATTTAAAGCGGAGGAGGCTGGTTCCTGCCCCGAACCACTGACAGTCCAGTCAGGGAGACCATGTGCTCGATGACTGAATCAGGGCAGAATGCGATTAGGGATGCAGAGAAGTGGCCGCCGTTCGTCATTCGTTCATTACTCATTCCACGGATATGTGTGGGTCACAGCAGGGGAAAATAGTCTCAGTTTATACCGTTGATGGGCACAAAATGCCTTTTTTTAAATAAGTCAACTGAATTTTTGTTTGGAATCCTCAGTGGGCTGGTGGCAGACACTTCCTCTCTGTCTCGAGGCTTCTCCCCAGTTCCAAGGTTCCTTGGGATTTTGCTGGTTCTAAGGCCTTGCAAGTTGTGTAAGGTAAGGACAGGGGGGGGTTTGATGAGTGGAGCATGGGGCAGGAGTCAGGCCCCAGGACAGCCACGTGACCTCTCCCCAGACTGTGAGGCCCGCTCTTGACTGCCCACCCCCTGTGAGCATCGGCTCTGTGACTGCCCACCCCCTGTGAGCGCCGGCTCTGTGACTGTCCACCCCTGTGAGCATCAGCTCTGGGACTGCCCACCCACTGTGAGCATCAGCTCTGGGACTGCCCACCCACTGTGAGCACCGGCTCTGTGACTGCCCACCCACTGTGAGCACCGGCTCTGTGACTGCCCACCCACTGTGAGCGCCGGCTCTGTGACTGTCCACCCCTGTGAGCATCAGCTCTGGGACTGCCCACCCACTGTGAGCATCAGCTCTGGGACTGCCCACCCACTGTGAGCATCAGCTCTGGGACTGCCCACCCACTGTGAGCATCAGCTCTGGGACTGCCCACCCACTGTGAGCATCAGCTCTGGGACTGTGCCCACCCACTGTGAGCATCAGCTCTGGGACTGCCCACCCACTGTGAGCATCAGCTCTGGGACTGTGCCCACGGACTGTGGCTCTCCGGACGAAGCCAGATGGAGACGTGGGAGAGGGCACGAAAGGCCTGGTGCAGAGCGTCAGCTGTGAGGAGTGCGCGTGACGAGCCGCGGGAGCTCGGCTTGGCCTTCGCGAGGCAGCGCTCGGGGTATCAGGTGAGAAGAGAGCGCTGGCACGGGCTTCCTGAGGCACAGCACGATCTCGCACGCGCTTGTCGTTTTATCAATAATTTAAATGACATCTCTGTGTGTCTCATTGTTCTCTGTCTCAGTCTCTCTCTCTCCTTCCCCATTCATTTAGTGTTCCCAAACAAGTGAAAGGTATATCTTTTTTAAAAATAGCCACAAAACCTTCACTTACTGTGGCCTCTGTCCAATCACAGATCACCCTCGAATATAAGAGTTCTCTCTGTGCTGGCATTTCGCACAGAAATAGAAACAAAATCATCGAACCGGCGATAACACATTTGAAGAGCAGGGTCTCGCTGACATATTTCTACTCATCAAAGGAGGCCGCTTCCTTTACAGAAAACGGACATCGAGGCCGAGGCTGGGGCCCCTCACGTGAGGCCCGTGGCCTTTGCCCGGGGGGTGAACGTCGCTTTCAACCACCTCATTGAGACCTTTCACACCATTTTCCAGGTTCGGACACTCAGAGGCAGGCTGGCCCCTCACCCATGCCTCAGAGCGCGGGGCGGTTTTGTGGGGCCTAGTGGATTATGGAACTGGGTTTTGAGCACTGGGGACTCCCGGTGACTTGTGACAAATGGGGGGGGGGGGGGGCACGGCGGGGTGGGGGGTGGGCAGAATGGGCGGCCCTGCTTCCCCGGAGCACCGGGCTTTCAGCCAGTGTGCATGTGGGGCCGTGCGCGCTAGTTCATCAGAAGTCAGCCAGACGGGGCTATTCTGCCGGCCAGGTTTGCCACAACCACCGGCTCTCAGTGGGGCTCCTTTCGTCCCCTGTGGGGCGCTTTGGATAGCTGTTTTGTTTCAGTGACAATAGTGACATTTCGTGAGGGGTGGTGAGGAAGGGATGCTGGGTGTTCTAACACGTGCAGAAAAAATCACATCATGAAGATTCGCTCCATGTTCTAGGCCCTAAATCTAGAACTTATACATTTTATTTATACACTAGAGGCCCGGTGCATGAAATTCGTGCACGGGTAGGGTCCCTAGGCCTGGCCAGCGATCAGGGCCAAACAGGGCCTTCCTTCCCCTGGCTGCTGGCTGCCTACTCCAGGCTGCCAGCTGGGGCCTTCCTTCATTCCACACCGCCCCCTGGTGGTCACTGCATGTCATAGTGAGCAGTCGAACTCCCAGTCGGCTGAACTCCCGAGGGGACAATTTGCATATTAGCCTTTTATTATATAGGATACATTATCTTTGAACTATTTAAAATCACACTGAATTATGGGAGAAAATAACTTATTAAAGACTTTACCAAGACTTGTTCACCATTTCAGAAAATGGCAGTAACCTCCCCCACCCCAACACCAAGGCAGTGCCACCATGGGATTTTGGTGGCTGTGCCAGTCACCGTGGGTGTCTCCTCCTCTCGGGCACATGGTAGTAGGTCATTCCTTCAGACCCGTGGAAGTTAGGTGCAGCTGCAATGCTTATTTGGGCCAATGAATGTGAGTGGGTGTGTGTCACTCCCAGAAGAAGTCTTAAGAGCCGGTGAGCACTCTCCCACGCCTCCCGTCCCAGGATTGTGACTGTGCGTGTCTCGGTGGCACCTCTGTAGGAAGAGCAGAGCCCCTGCCCACCACACTGAACATGACGTGGGTGAGAGATACACTGTGGAGCAGTGAGGCACTTGGGGTGTTTGTTATTGCAGCAAAACCCAACCTGTCCTGACTGTGCAGCCACGGATCCAACACACATGCCCGTAGGCATTGCATATGTGGCGATTCTATGAACATGTACAAGCCTCTCACCACTTCCTATCTCCTCTACTACCATCTTGCCTGAGCATTTAAATATAAAAAAAAATTATTATAAAAATATTTTGTTTGTCTTTATACATATAATAGTTAGGATATGATATTGAATTTTTTAAAATTCTAGTCTTTTTTAAAATATATTTTTTTTATTGATTTCAGAGAGGAAGGGAGAGGGAGCAAGAGATAGAAACATCAATGATGAGAGAGAATCAATGATG